AGATCTGAGGAGTAAGGTGGATGTGGTAAAACAGACCATCCAAGCTCCAGAATTTTTTCTTGAGTCACCCTTGCTATATGCGGTCACGCGTTGTCGTGTAAAAGAATGACATTTCTACGATTGACGAGTGCAGGGCGCTTTTCTAGGAGTTTCTCTTGCACTCTTTGCAATTGCTGAATGTATTTATCCGCAGTAATCGTTAAATTTGACTTCAACAACTCATGGTGACTTATACCTTCATAATCTCACCATACACACAATAAAATCTATTTAGCTGCATCGGAAGTTACTTATGACTCGACCAAATACATTATATAGGAGAAGCTGGGCTTTAATATGATATGATCAGATTTAATATGATCAGCGGTATGATACCGCTGATAATATATTAAAAGAGTACATATATAATATAGTAACTGAAAAAAACGCACGCATAGAAGCTCGATATGATAAAAACAGTACCAACCTACGTAAAAACTGGGCCGAGATATATAAATGTAGGACCTATTATAAAAATTATAATACACCGTGCTCTGGTACAATTTAACTTGAAGCAACAGATGAAAACATCTTGCTTTTAATTTTCTTTAACCCGATTGTAATCAAAATTTCCAAATCAGTGTTCGCCAATTTATGTGAATACCAGTGGTAACATCAGTCACTCCATCACTTCTTTCACACTCGCATAAGCAACTGACGTGCCCTACATGCATTGTGTTCCACAAGAGAGTGGACGTGATATTTTTGAAATTTGATATCCAGTATAGGAAAAATTGTATCAGTCCAAACATACAATATCTTCTCTAATACGCAATAGTCCTGCAATTTTTTTAGTAACATTTTTGTCACTGAGAAGTTCAAATCATTTCAAGATAAGCGCCGTATGCACTAAACAATTCGAAAGAGTATTCTTGTGCCATCACCCGAAAGGATCAAAAATGAGTGTTCGAAATGCAGCAAAATATGTGCACAAGTCTCGCGAATTTGTAAATAAGTGGGTACAACGTTATAAAGAGACAAATTGTGTCAATGATCTCCCTGATCGAGGTTCGAAGCGAGCTACGGAACTTTATGTGTCGGGGTTTCGGAACTTTATGCGTTTTTACGGATAATTTGAACGCTTAAAAGATAATTAAAATGTATAAAAGGGGTGTTTTAGTATCGGTGAAACATTGGTTTAAAAAACCAGAGACTATTACATACTTGAAAAGGACAACGACTCCAAACACCGAAGCCGCCTTTTTACGCTATGGAAAGCAGCGAATGCTGTCAACGTATTGAATTGGCTATCTCAGTCCCTGATGTCAATTTAATCGAAAATGTTTCATCTTTCATGAAATACGAACTCCGACGAAAGGGTATTTTAAAATTGAAGACGTATATTCGAGAATATCATATACAGTGGAGGACAAAAGTATTCGTAGACTTAAAATATAGAAGTAAAAAGAACAATATTTTTGATATTATTAAGTACATTTAATCATATATAGCTGTATATTAAACGTTACATCTTCAACAACAAATGACCCAAAACTGAAAGCAATAATCATATCATATAGTGACTTGAAATGACTTAAAATTCACGAGGCTATAAGAAATTATTGGGAGCAAACACATTCAGTGGAGGACAATAGTATTCGTACAATTAATTATTACTACAATTATTTTAGCAGAAATTTTATAAATTAATATTTTGTATGATAATCCTTTCGGTAAATCACTTCACGACTATATTGGACATTGACAATATCAATCTTTCAACGAAATCAGATTCTATATTACACCATTCTTTTTTTAATATTTCTTTCAAATATTCTTTCGACGTTATATCATGTTTTTTAACCGACTTCGAAAAAGGAGGAGGTTACTCAATTCGATCAGTATATATTTTTTTTTTTTTTCTATGTATGTTCGCCGATTACGCCTAACTGGGTTGACCGATCGGAACGAAGCCTTCTGCATCTGGTGGGTTCAGGCTCCCCATTGGTACCATTATCAAAAAATTTTTCATTTTTTAATTGCAAAGTGTTGTTATTGCAAAAAAAATCGGCAACTTTTATAAAATAAACTTTTCTCGATTTTACGGTGTATTTTTTTTCTGAAAATTATTTTATTTCCTTCTCTTTTATTGCACATTTTTTTCTAGTGCCGCCCGTACATGTTAGATAGAATTTAAGTCAAGCTATTGCGGAGGAGTGGCTAAACTGTGGGGAGTATTGGTGTTAACAACCTCTGACGTACTATACATATAGGCTATATGTCTCGCATCATGTCTTGCTGAAAATAAAATTCATCTAATTGATAAATCTAATTCATTCTAACCCATCTGCTCTATTTTGTAAATTTTCTATTAAAATATTTAAATATAAATGTTTATTCATTATTTTATCTATTACATATTACTAAATTGCCACTTCCAGAAGCAGCAATACAATCTCCACACCATCACACTTCCACTTCCGTGTTTCGTCATCGGTTGCATATTATTGAAATCCAATTTAGTATTAGCTTTCTGCCATACTTTTTTACTATTGTCGGACTCAAAAAATATTAAATTTTAAATCTTCGGAAAATACTACGTTTTTCCAGAAGTCCTCGCACATTTATGTATTGTTCTGCAAATTTTAATCTCTTTTTTTGTTTACTTTGCTTATGAGTGGTTTCTTCCTCGCAACTTTACAGTTATATCCGGCCCGATATCGATCACTTTTCGTACTGTTTTAGGAAAAATTTCCTTCAGCAAATATTCTTTAAGGTATGATGCAATTTCAGATGCACTGGTATCTGGTTTTTGTTTAATAGTTCGGACGATTTTACGCTTTTCTTTCGTAGTTAATTTTCGGAGTCTACCGGTTTTGTTTTATTCCGCAATATTCCTTTTTTTTATACTTGTTTATAATACTTTGTACAGTCGATCGACTTTTGTTTTAGTATTTCTGATATATTTCTATATGATTTACCTTCTTCATGTGACTGTATAACAATTTTATTTCTTCTAAAGTTGTTTCATTGCGTTTTCTCTTCATATTGCAAATATTAGTGCTAAAGTGTACTTGCTACAGAACATCATCTAATGTAACAACGACATTGATCAGAATGTCCTGATACCATCGCAGTTGTTATATTTATCAATATAAATGATAATGTACGAATACTTTTGTCCCGGCGATTTTTTACTGTCTCATAAATTTCAAGTCATTTCAAGTTATTACATGATGTTATTGTCTTCGATTTTGGGCCATTTGTTGTTGAAAGTGTAATGTTTAATATACAGCTATATATGATTAAATATACTTAACAATTGTTACGTGCGGGAAGCGCGCGTATAAAGCCTCGAAGATTTGTTTGCCCAAACAATATTAATTGTTAACGGGACTTAATGTTTTGTGGATCCGGAGACACGCTAGTCCCATACGGGCCCTTTCACAAGATCGCAATGTTTAGAGGAAATGACGGAAGCAATTAAAGAAATGTAATTCAACTAATTAAAATATTCAAAAATTATATTTTATAAAATATGAAGCGATTAGAATGGTAGCGTATATAATATAATGTGAATCACAATGAACTGAACAAAAATATTGTAAATATCCGAGACGCGCAATTCGAAGATTTGAAGGAGAAACAATTATTCAAATACAAAATAATTTTATAATCCAGTGAGGGAAATCCCAAAGTTAAATAATTAACTACTGGATCTACTTGCCGAAAAATTCATAAAATAGCTGGAAGAATAAAGGAAACAACTCACCAAAATGTCTGTACTTGTATGAATTTAGAATTAGTCAACCTCTTGCAAAACGTGAAATGCCAAATACGCCTGGTTCCTGGGAAGAACGCACACTCACACATGAAAACGCTCCACCAATGATAATTTTGAACTGGCCAATCGTGAAATTCAATTAAACTATAAAATAAAATTATACTTTAAAAATTAAAAGAATAGAATAAAATATAATTAAATAGAAAAATAGAATAATTAATTGAATTGAAAATTTAATGTGATAATTAACGTGATTATTTAACGCGAAAGCTTTACGTGAAGATAGAGTCTTTGTCTGAATTTTGCACTTTAACAAATTCAAGAACAAACTCGTCTCTAAACCACTTCACGGACCCTCGACACGCACCTCGCGATTATACACCGAAGAGTGTCGCAACTTGCACCTCTCGGAGAAGACCAGAGTGGGCCTAGTCCGAAATTGTTTATGTTGCTTTGATATGCGCCTAACGAATTAGGTTGCGAGGCCAATGCGTAAGAGACCGTGATTCGTTAATTAGGTGGTGATGGTGGGTGCATGTGTTCCTCCCTTGTCCAGCTCTTATCTTTCTCTTTTTCTATTGTATAATTCTTTCTTTTACCCTTGAGCTATGGATTGTTAATTAGCTATTGAATAATTTTACATATATAACCAATACAGTATAAAACGTTAATCTGTACACATTATAAAAATTTAGAATGAAACATTATCTATTTCGCTTTACAATTATTAAAGTCAAATTGCGCTCGGTACTGTGATTATTGTACGACTGATTGACGTGTGCGTATTTATGATAACGGTACAATGAAATACTATGGGCAATTTATATAATATTGTAGTGTTACAAAGACAATTTCTATTACAATTTTATATTGCGTCGCGGGCCCTTGAGGAACATTCTAGAACGCTTGGCGTTATCGGACCACACGAGTGTGACTTCCGTTTATATTCGGCGGTTCGGAGAAATGAAATGATCTAAGATTTTAGCCGTGGGATCACGTTGATTTCAAGGAAGGAATGTGTTATATTAACAATCATGGTTTAGTCGCCAAAAGATAGTCTATCTAATAAACATTAAAAGACCGTTACTGCGTTCGATCAGGGTGTTCCCAGAATGCAATACGCATTATCGATACACATCCGGTCGGTCAAAACTACAAAGGAAATTTTGAAAAAGATTCCTGTTCGGAACGTAACACAATATCAAAAACATTATTCTTTTTATTTCTATATTTTAAGTGTACGAATACTTTCGTCCTCCATTGTATGCAGATCTCTTCCTGTCTCATATGCTGCAAAGCTGATTGAAGGTATGCCCAGACATTACGCAGGAATAATCGCTAATGGTGGTGATTGGACACATTATTAAGCAAGTGTGTATTAGTTGTTTAAACGTATTTTTAACCTATACAGCCTTTTAATAGAAAAGATTTTCTTGCATTCAGACATCCTGTCCTCGTTCTTGTGGAACAAACTGTACATATTAGGAAATACATCGTATTCGGCTAGAGGTGAGAATAATTGCCGGGGATGGTAGCTGGAATGATATTGAACAAATTTTTCGTTTACAAAAATGGTTATTAAGGCTTAGTTTCTGGATTATTAATCAGAAACAACGATTAATAACAAGTCGCATAAATCTACCAACAAAGCTAACTCTATGGATCAAAATAAAATAAAAATTAAGTGTGTAAATTTTATATTCTATTTGTTGGCTACGTATGACATCAGTAGATAGCCAATACTTAAATTTATATTTTCAAATACATTTAAACACAGCTTCTAAAAACGAAATTGTTGTTAGATTCCAGGTTGAAGGAATAAACGACAACACTTTTTAATAGAAACTTAGAGATTTTGAATCATAGGCGATAGGTTCTACACGTTCGTACCAATTACTGTTTAACAAAAATATTCTCTCGCTTGCTTGAATCATTCTGAAAAGAGTTTATAAACTTTTAATTTTGGAGTATTGTATGTATAATAATATGTATTTGTATGTGATATAAGTATTGAATTATAGGAACTTATACTTACATCTAAACTGTAGCTATCTAATTATAACTATAATATATACTATACTATAACTAAACTATACTATAGTTTGAGATTACAGAAAAATACAAAACGGAAATAAAAAATCAATAGGTATCAATTTTTTAATCGTTATGCTTGTAAACTTGTGAACAATATCCTGCTCACAAAGAGTTATTAAAATAAAGTAATAATAAACATCTCTGTAGGAATCTCCGTTTACGCTCGGTACATGTGTGACTTCCACTGTATTATTGTCATGATCATGATCATGTACGTCATCGCCATTACAATTATCTTTATTATTATCATCATTATTATCATGATTATCAGCATAATTATTATAACGAATTATAATAACAACATTTTGAGTGAATGTACAATATTATGATTGTAGTGCGCTCAAAGAACTGGAAAGGTCATGTCTACAAGATCAAAGGAGAAAGTTGTCGCAGCTTTTCGGAAATTTTTCCGATCCTCGGAGAAAATATCAGAACAAGACGGAGCAAGCAGCTCCACGAGTTCACCATCGAGGAAGCTATTAAGCCGGCATCATCGTCCTGACGCAGTTACACCAGCTGATGGTGTTTTGTCAGATAATCCGGGTGCCAGTGACTCCAGTCATGGGAATTGCTTTTTCAAATCCAAGAAATCTTCTGGCAGTTCCACTCAGGTATATCGAAATTGGTTTTCAATTAATTGATCATATAACAAAGCATGCACTGGAGAGTACACAATTGGTTTTCGTTGGGAACATGGCAATGCATAGCTATTTACGAAATTAAACATTTAACACGTCACTTAATAAGTCTCCGGTCTAACTAGAAATTGTTGTTAGATTCCAGGTTGAAGGAATAAACGACAACACTTTTTAATAGAAACTTAGAGATTTTGAATCATAGGCGATAGGTTCTACACGTTCGTACCAATTACTGTTTAACAAAAATATTCTCTCGCTTGCTTGAATCATTCTGAAAAGAGTTTATAAACTTTTAATTTTGGAGTATTGTATGTATAATAATATGTATTTGTATGTGATATAAGTATTGAATTATAGGAACTTATACTTACATCTAAACTGTAGCTATCTAATTATAACTATAATATATACTATACTATAACTAAACTATACTATAGTTTGAGATTACAGAAAAATACAAAACGGAAATAAAAAATCAATAGGTATCAATTTTTTAATCGTTATGCTTGTAAACTTGTGAACAATATCCTGCTCACAAAGAGTTATTAAAATAAAGTAATAATAAACATCTCTGTAGGAATCTCCGTTTACGCTCGGTACATGTGTGACTTCCACTGTATTATTGTCATGATCATGATCATGTACGTCATCGCCATTACAATTATCTTTATTATTATCATCATTATTATCATGATTATCAGCATAATTATTATAACGAATTATAATAACAACATTTTGAGTGAATGTACAATATTATGATTGTAGTGCGCTCAAAGAACTGGAAAGGTCATGTCTACAAGATCAAAGGAGAAAGTTGTCGCAGCTTTTCGGAAATTTTTCCGATCCTCGGAGAAAATATCAGAACAAGACGGAGCAAGCAGCTCCACGAGTTCACCATCGAGGAAGCTATTAAGCCGGCATCATCGTCCTGACGCAGTTACACCAGCTGATGGTGTTTTGTCAGATAATCCGGGTGCCAGTGACTCCAGTCATGGGAATTGCTTTTTCAAATCCAAGAAATCTTCTGGCAGTTCCACTCAGGTATATCGAAATTGGTTTTCAATTAATTGATCATATAACAAAGCATGCACTGGAGAGTACACAATTGGTTTTCGTTGGGAACATGGCAATGCATAGCTATTTACGAAATTAAACATTTAACACGTCACTTAATAAGTCTCCGGTCTAACTAACAAGGGACATTACACAATCGCCAATCGCCGATTTTGATGCGCTTTGAATATGATATAGAACGCAAAAAAATATTTGACACGTATTTTTTTTTATCGGCCATCGTCCATGCTGAAGGGGTGAAAATGGCCCCCAAAGTTGGGGTTGCAAAACATGTTTTCTCGAATATCTCAGGAACTATTAGGCATAGACAAAAAATTAAAAGTGCAAATTTTTCTGTTTTAGAAGGCCAATAATATGGCCTAAATGGATTTTTGAAAAATTTATTTGTTTAAAAAATATGTTAAAAATTAACATTATTTTGCAAATTTTTTTAATAAAACTGCACTATTTTGATCAAATTTCACATATGTAAACTATAGGTCAAAAGACAAAATACGGATAAATTGGAATTTTTAATTTCGCTTGTGGAAAAAATATTATTGTCGTTGAAGTTATACGTACATTTTATACCTTCCGTTCGATGCACAACTGATTTCTATACGTAATATTCTGGAAATTGTATTATATTACATTTTTTACACTAACTTATTTAACCAGTTAACTGTGGCGATCTTTTTGCAAAGCGCGCACCAGTATGTGTTGTTGGAGGTCCCAACTATATGCTTCGTAAAATACTTTCTTTACCATGCTGTTCCTATTTCCTTGTCCTTAACCTTGGGTCCCTTCCTGTCATCAGTCCTAGTCCACTCAAGTACCCATAAATTACCACCTCTCGAAATCCACTTTCTTTCAATATTTTGTCCAATCCCTGTTCTTTTCCTCCACCCTTGTTAAATAATTTCAACCAATGAGCATTTTCCCAAAAGGTTTCTTTTTCCCAATTTTTACTCCGTCTCGTCAGAATTCATTCGCAACTCAACCGTGTTAGTTCATAAACTCGTTAGATAACTGATGTAAGATATTTGTGCGGAAATAAAATTAACTATTTAAAGTTAATCCCGAATTATCTGAATCCGGTTATCCAACAGTGTTATTTCTTGCTGATTTATTTATTATCTACAATTTGTGTTATTAATAAATTTATTATTTATAGCTTTGTCATTAATGTGTTTATTATTAAATTTGTCTATTACTGATGAATTCACTTCATTTTGTAATGAAAACATATACGCAAACGTGAATATATGAATATACACATATGTGAATCTATGTGAAACAAAATGACGGATATAGTCGTCATGACACAAAATTCTGCCACATCTCCATGACGGATATAGTCGTCAAACACACTTGACTGGTTAAAAAAAGAATTTAAAGGTCCAAAGATGCCTCTATAAAAATATGTCGTTCGAGTCAGGTATCGCATTTGATCCGCGTTATGGGCGCGTACTGGTGGCAGTATTCGACGCACGGAGAATCTTAACGCGTGAATTGTACTTGTGCGAAGTGTAATATCTTCATAATGATGTAGAATACGTGCAATTAAAGGAATTACATCTGTTGATTAAGAATTGTTTCACGATTGTAAGATATATAGTAACACTGAAATTATAGCTTTTTTATAATTTTCAAAATTATGTCTCTTATTTTGAAATGATTTTCTAATGTACCTTCTGATATCTTCAAGGCATTAGCTATCTCACACAACTTAAGTTTACGGCCCTTTAAAACTATTTTATGAACATTTTTTATGTTTTCCGGAACGACTGCTGATTTTGTATGCTTGTATGACCGCGTTTAAATTGAGCATACCAGTCAATGATAGTTGATTTCCCTGGTGCAGAGTCCCTATAATGCTTATGAAGTCACTTTTTGGCTTCAACAGTATTTTTTCCGATTAAAAAACAGTGTTTAATCAACACACGAAATTCCTTTCTATCCATTGTCTTTAAAATTACGAAACTGGGGGTACTAAAATGACTGTAACTTCTAAGCTACTGGTCAGAATACCCTGAAATTTTGACACGTACTGTTTGAAGGTTAGTATTATTCGAAAATAACGTGGGTCTGTCACCAGTATCGCCATATATGTATGTGTCAGACCGGGGACTTATTGAGTGACGTGTTATGTTCATAATGAACGGTGGGAAGATGAATTGAAATGTAAATATTTTATTGTAACGTAATATATGTCATGTGTCTGGTCACTAAGTTTGCAGGAAAATCGGTTTCAAATTGGAAAATGGAGGAATAATATAAGTGGAAGTGCTTACTATTTAGAAATTTTGTTAACTTAAACATTGTTGCAAATGTCCACAATTTTAATGTAAATTATACATATTGTAGGATAGGCTTCTTCATCGAAGGACAGTTGTGCAGAAAGGATATTGAGGAATTTCTAGATAAAACAAATAATACATTTATTCATATTAATGTAGTTTCTTATAAAATCGAAAAACATAAAATTTCAATTTGTCAAATTTACAAATTTACAGGTTTCATACTACAAAATCATAGATAAAATTTACAGAATACGGAACATAGCTTTTGGTGTTCGGACTTTGCAATTTAATAATTTTTGTATGTTATATTGGAGGCGTTCAGGAGATTTCTCTCCATTAATAGACGATTGGCGGCAAGATCCAGCCGTTTTCTCCTATGTTCTAAAATCTGACAAGCGACCGGCAGTAAATTCCAGCCGTTTTTTTCCCGAAAATTCTATAATCTAACAATAAGATAGGCGACCAGTGGCATACTCCAGCCTTTCTCTCCTATTATCCTTATGCAACCAAGGAGTATTGTCCCATTCGCTTTCCCTAGATGGCGATCGGCGGCAGGATTGCAGCCGTTATCTCCATCCCAGGAGAAGAAAGCAGAAGACGCTCTCTAACTTCCTTGGGCGTCCGGGTCTTGCAATGTTTCTTCTTTTTTAACCATATTAATTCGACGATAACGATTTTTAATGAACTTGAACCTTGTGTTCCATAGCATGTAGTTCGTTCTGTAATCTAATTCTCCTGCAGGGATGTCGGAGGTTTAGATATCGATCTCAATAATTGCTGCGTTTAAAAGATTCTTGTACCTAACGCAAGAATCATTCATATATTCTCCATTACAGTACACAGTCATGTCGGTAGTCTGATAGAAAATAAAAACTATATGCAACAAATGGGAAAGTAAGCGAGGAGAATACAGAATATAACTCTGATCATTATAATTTTGATAGTGGTTTTCAAGGGTATAGGTGGACTACGTTAAAATCTATTGAGTCGAGTCTTCTGTACCGAACAGAATTTTAAAGTTAATTTTCTGAAAATAAAGTCAAATGAAAAAAATTTTTTAATTCATTTTTTTCACGTAGAAGCAGTCCTTATTCGATTGTCCAATCAGTTATATGATATATTGTCTGTTTATTCGAATAATTCAGATAATTTATGAAGAATGTTGTAAAGAAGAAAAATTAGTTGGACATACTTAAAATATAATAATATTACTGTTTTAGCGATACAAAATTATGAGTGTTCGTGGGTTCCTACGGTATTATATTATTATATAGAACAACATATAGTATATAAAGCGATTTTAGGAACTGCACGGTTAGTACCCTTTTTTAAGGGAAAATAGATGTTGGATGACTTATCTTAAGCAAATAATAAGTCATAGCCAAACCATGACTCTCTCGATGCACAACAACAAAAACAGCCTACATCCACTATTAGTCATAAGGGCTAAGGTCGTCCTCCCCCACTAAAGAGAGGATATATATATATATATATTGTCACTGACCACGGGCAGTTTAGACAGAGAATCAGTTTTGCTGCAAGTTAGCAAGGAGGTCGTTGTTTCTTTTCTTCACACGATTTTCTGTTAAAGTTGAGTTCGGCGTAACCATAGAGGTTTCAAATCCAATAAACTTTTAGTATAGTAAAGTGGTTTTATTCCTCAACCCGGATTCCAACATAGAAAACAGTAACAGAGGAAAACATCGTGCGGCATAATATGTTCGAACTTATTATAAGATTATTGTGTATAATTTTATTGTTATATTTATTTTTTATTTTTTACTTGGTGCACTCGTTAAGTACAATTGCATTTTATTCTCTAACATACATTTTTCTATTACATCAATCAAACCTTTTATTATCCTGAGAATAAAACTAAGTACGTAGAGTTGCATTTGTTTGTTTACGGCCATCTCGTTTGTCTACATTAGCATCTGTCTCAACATTGTATCTTCCACAATTCAACGTCATTGAACGTGCGGTATTTATTGTTGTCCAAAAATACCTGATTACCCTGTGGTGAAGTCTACTGGTGAGTAATGTACCCGTAAACACTTCATTTTTGCAATTATTAAGCCTCATGGTTGATTTCATGATCGAAACCATTATTGGAAAGCAAGTTTGAGACAGACGCTGATGTAAACAAGCAAGATGGCTGTAGCGAGATACTCCTTTATTCAAAATTTGTTACTATTTTTAACCGACTTCGAAAAAGGAGGAGGTTACTCAATTCGATCAGTATACTTTTTTTTTTTATTTTTTTTTCATGATTCTGAACAATTTTGTTCGTATACAAATTTCGCGGAAAGGTTTAGTTTTCGAGATATTAGCGAAAAATTGTTGAAAAGTTTTGAAATCAACTTTGGACGATTTTAATGTCCTTTTAATATGTTATCAGGGGCACGATTCTGAACAACTTTTTCCTTATCCGCAATTAAGGGGAAGCTTTAGTTTTCGAGTTATTAGCGAAAAACTATTGTTACTAATATATTGAATTCTACGTATGCCTCCGTGTCTCTGGTGGTGTATGAGTCAACATGCAGTCGCCGATTTTCTACTGTTTCTACAAACACGTCTTGTCGGCCGAAAATCAGTATACATGTATAATAACTATTGTTATTGCAAAATCCTATTCTTTGGTATTGTTATGTAAGAAATGCACCGATCGTGATGAAACTTTTCGAATCTTAAAGATCTTTTCAAGATGATCTCATTTGTAACAGATATTTATGGGACTCGTTAATTGTTAATAACTATTGATATTGGAAAAGATTTATTCTTACCTTGCAAGAAATATGGCGACCGTGATTTTTCAAAGTTGTTCCTGTAAGTAGACTTCGTCAATTCCTTTATCAACTGGCCGCAATAAAAGAGAAGGAAATAAAATAATTTTCAGAAAAAAAATACACCGACTTCGAAATGCACTAAAAAGTATAAAATAATTTCTATTTCCTAATGAAGTAATTTCTATTTCTTTGAATCATACAATTACGTCACAGATATGAATGAAACCTATTTACTCGTTAGGTAGTATATTAAATACATTTCAACCTTTTCGGAGGCGGCGCAAAATTAAAAGATTTTCTTGAACATGCCAACTTTTGGGCAGCCGAACATAGGCAAAGCTTGTATAGCTATTTTTTTTTTATATACATATAACTCGACAGCACGCTGCGAAGTAGGTGTTAGTGCATATAGAATGTAACTATGCGACGGAAAGACTCGATCGCCGCATATACTATAAAGATAGAACCCATCTGCCGCAAATTTGGTAATTCCCGCGTCGTGGACTCCGTTTATAGGTTCTTAGATCCATGGCTTCCACACGCGAACGAAGTCGATTCAATTTCATTTATATGTATCAGAAACGTTGCGAAATGAAGATGCAGTCGTTACATTTACGTATATTACCAGATATATCTATAATGGTTCGTATTCTTTCTCAAGATTTATTAATTTCCAATACGCCATACCACAATCAACTGGCTATTGGCAGCAACGTTTACTGAGGTATTTTTAATTTTGCGCCGCCTTCGAAAAGGTTGAAATGTATTTAATATACTACCTAACGAGTAAATAGGTTTCATTCATATCTGTGACGTAATTGTATGATTGAATGAAATAGAAATTACTTCATTAGGAAATAGAAATTATTTTATACTTTTTAGTGCATTTCGAAGTCGGTGTATTTTTTTTCTGAAAAATATTTTATTCTTTTCGGTCTTTTTCTACGTTGGGCAAGACATCAATCAATGTAGGACCTGTACAATTTACGCAAAACCTCAGACCCGAAAGATTTGCGTACAGTGGGCAACAAAAGTAAGTAAACACTTTGAGCTTGTAGCAAAAAACCATTTATGTCTGTTGGATTTATTCAACACAATAAGTGTTGCCTTCAGCAAAAATCATCGGGTCGTAAACTTTCACTAACGTTGGAGTTTCGACTCAAGAGGTTGCAGATGTTTGTTTTAACTATAGGACCCATAGGTTCTATAGACTCGTAGCGGATTTTTCCTTCGACGAGTTTTCTTATTCTTACGGTTTTCGTTGACTAGTAAAGACGTACCTTTCCGAGCTTCAAAAGTTAAATTAAAGTTTCTGTTAAAATATAAATTGAGTATCATTACTTTATCTCACCGCCTATTTCCTATAATGTCAAAGCAAATATGTAACTTCAAAAAACAAATTGTATATCTACTGAAACTACATGAAATAATCTATATAATTATGTTGATAAAATGTTCATTAGTGCTGCATTTCCTCGTAAAAAATAATAAAGATTCGCGGTATGCAACGAATACACGTTCCAAAAGTAAGTAAACACGACCGGCATTGCTCGATAACTTTTTAATACTTGCAATTTTGCAATTTTGCAATTTATCTGTAAATGACTCTTATAGATTATTTCATACTGAATTTGAATTCGTAAACTGTTTCTTTGTAGTGGTTATCGTTTTCGAGAAAATTTGACTTAAAGGAAAATTGTAAGTTTTCATCTTTGGAAATGTTTCACAGTCTTATAATTGCGTCTATTCACTTTATTTTTATACCAAACTATTCTGCCAATTATCTGGAATAAAATGATAGGAATTGTGGTAATATTATAATTATTTAATTATGTTTAAATGCCAATGGAAGTGAAGAAGAAACCCAAGACTCGCTGATGTCTGCTGATGTTTTTTAATTTATTTCAATGACTAAAAGTTTCAGAACAATTCTAATCAGATCAAACGAAATAGTAAATATTACAGTTGAAGAAGGTACTCAAGAAAGACAACAAATTGTGTTATGCTTTGAGTACATGTGTCAAACGTTTCGGAAAATTATTAGCACGAAATCCGAAAAACGTTCGTACAAAAAAGATTGGCATTGGTCAGTGTTTTTCATTAATAATTCAAAAACTAAGCTTTAACCAGCATTTTGGTAAAGGAAAAAATTGTTCAGAATCACCCCAACTACTACCCCCTAAAATTATGCCCACCAGTAGCCGAACACCCTGTATATATAGTAACTCCAAATTACTATTTACAAATACCATGATAAAGATAGAATCAATTTTTTTTTTTTTTTTTCAGAAAATAAAGAAATATTTTTCTATGCATCGTATAGTTTTGATTTAAAGCTCTCTTTTATTATTCAATTATTTTGTTATATTTTCGTTCTTAATTCTTCTCAAACATGCTTAACCTGGTTGAAATTGGGATTGGAAAGAAGTTTGGACACAGTTTTGAAACTTTATATGTATAAATATCGTTTCTGGGCTGGATATGATGATTTCATTAGGATCATTGTCCTATTGAAAACTAATTCAACAGGATGTGGATCAAATGCGGTATTTTTCATTTTTCTGCCGATTCTCTAATATTGCTTTTCAAAATATTTAAAAAACATGTTTGTGTTAATACTTTTATTAATACGTGATTGAATTTTAGATATTAAATTTCTCATATTTACTCATGAAGTTATGTTCATTTCTTTATCTACAAATTATTTGACATCTAACAATAACATTTTTTTTCGAACTATACTTTCGTATATATATTTGTTTATAATTTTTCAAATTCTACTATGTGGCCTACACGATATGTCGTTTGAAAATAATTTTCATACTGAAATATCTGATCTTTTCTTGTAGGCTATTTCAGTGCTTAATATACTACTAACAACCAGTTGTTTGCTTTTAGTTGTTTAATAACAGTACTTAGAAAAATATTTTATTAGACTGCCTACCAGGAGTACTAACATTGAATTTATGGATATGTAGTATTTCTGCAATTTAAAAATGTGCTAATGTGTACTCTGAATTTTGTCTTTGCAATAAGAATATTTTTATAGTTAAATACGACAAAATAGTTAATGTTATTTTAAATCTTTGTAATAAACTGTTAATTAAATTGTTTGAATATACAGGGTATCTCAGTTTTTTCCGACCAATCTTTGCCAGCGTGTTCTGCACGAAAAAGTAAGAAAAAATATTGTATGAACATACATATATGTTATATGTTAATTCATTAATAAAACGTTAATAAAAAATGTGGATATCAACTGCCAGAGCAAGCAGACAAGATTTTATGTAAATAGAAATAGATATATTCATAATACGTTCGTATGCTGTGTCAACGAAATGCCAGTTCATTATAATTTTGTATTATTAGTTATAACTCTTTAATAAAACATTTAAGAGCACATGTTCATATAACATTTTTTTCTTACTTTTGCGTTCAGAACACGCTTGCAAAATTTGATTGGAAAAAATTGGGACACCGAGTACGTGTATTGAAATTGAAGATAAGCTGGGCGAAGTTCTTTTTCTTACACGTGTTAGCCAAAGGAAGCTTATATGACACTCAAAATATATTTCCATTTATGCATAAATATTTACTTATTATTAAGATAATGATTGAGTTACTTTCCATTATTTTATATTAATATTAATTATTTATGAAATACATCCAATTATACATTTCCATTATAAAATATAATATGATTTTAAAACTGTTTTAGGGAATTGTTGCAGTGCCAGATAAAAGAGTTCGTTTGCGTAGATTGATGAAGGAACTTAGTGAAATCCAGAGAACACAGCATCGATTAGAATCCACCTTTACCGCAGAACTAGTCAATGATAATTTGTTTGAATGGCATGTGAGGCTGCATAAAATTGATCCAGAAAGCGAACTAGCAGCTGACATGAGAGAGCTCAATATACCTTATATACTTCTTCACGTGGTGTTTCCGGAGAATTTCCCATTCGCCCCTCCATTTATGCGCGTTATTTCACCTCGAATTGAAAAGGGTTTTGTAATGGAAGGTGGTGCTATTTGTATGGAACTTCTTACGCCAAGAGGATGGGCTAGTGCGTACACTATTGAAGCTGTCATCACGCAGTTTGCAGCGAGCATCGTTAAGGGCCAGGTGAAATCATTTTAATACGAAATCTGTATTCTAATATTATTTATAAGAACAGTTTTAAATTTTTCGTTACATTTAGCAGTTTAAAAATTCTCAAACATTTCAACTTCCTTTTTCGATTTAGTAATATTGCAGATTTTTTAATTTTCAACTTCACAAAGTTTCTAATTCAAGTTTCAAGGAATTTTATAAGTTCAGAAGTTCTTAAATTTTAAAATTTACATAGCTTTAAATTTTCAATATTAGGATTTATGAACTTTATAAATTTTTAAATTGAACACTTAAATTTTTAACTAATATTATTAAAAGTCACATGTTAGTACCATGCCAATATCATGCCAGTATCATGCCAGTATGAATGGTATAAATTTGCTAAGTAAATACCATTTTTATGAATATAATCAAACATAACAAGCATGCTGTTATTATTGTATATACATTATAGTAAAATTATAACATAAAACTTTAAAACCACAACTCAAAAAGAGTGAACTTTAAAGCTGTGATTCGCTTTTCCTCTTTTAGTTTTCTCTATTTTAGTATTATTAAAATATTTTTCAATAATTAGTGAAATTAATTTTAATATTGTGAATGCTTCTACTAAAAATCATAATTGCATTAATTTTGAATTAACATAGGATACAATTTGAGTTTCTATATATATATATATTTTAGGTGTTGTATTAAATTAAAAAATTAATATAATAAATGCTAGAATATTTTATCGTTATCTTTTAAATCAGCACTTAACATTTTCCATTACAGTGTAACATTATTTGATATCCACATAGAACGAGCAATTTTAGGGATGTATTTTAATTCACGTATTCAAATAGATTAATGTATGTGAATAGTTCTAATGTTGTTCAATGTTTTAGGGCCGTATAGCAAGGAAGTCGAAAACGAACAAAGAATTTAATAGACGTTCTGCTGAAGAATCCTTCAGAAGTCTCGTAAAAACTCACGAAAAGTACGGATGGGTAACGCCACCACTTGCAGAAGGTTAATCTTGCAAGTGACTGTAAGAAACAAAAGACTTGACTGTTATTTAAAATACCGCTGCGTGCTGTTTTTATGAGTATAAATTTGATGAGTATTATTATAGCTCCTTTCTGACTAATTATGTAATTGTACCACAATTATATTAGTATAGTACTTCTACATGCAACTGATTATACAATATTTGAGAAAGGAGAAACAAGGCAGAAGTAAAATTTTGAAAAGGTTTTCAAATCGGCTGATTCTGTAAAAACATCAATATACCTTATACATCAATGTATGTAAAAACGGTAACGTTAAAATGTATGGCTGTTTCGTTATTATAGTATTACAAATTTATTTATCAGTTTTGTAACAAATGAATTATTGTAAAGTTACCATGACATTGTTATTAATAATAAACATACCGTGCTCAAATGTCTTTTGTAATCTTTAAATAGTTATTTAAAACTATATGTAAATATTTTTGTTAGTGTAATATAAGGCTACATTTTTCATCTCTCAACGGATAATACTTACTACCATACGGGACTCCAATTTTTTTGTGATAATTACATAATTAACATAGCAAAGTAACAAGATTAGCACAGAATAAGCGGACAAAATACATCAACATATTGGCGTCGGGACGTTTCGAGCCGTGGCACTTAAATGTTTTATTTATACGTAATTTGCCGCCAATTTGTTAATAAATATAAAATATTAATAAATTATATTAATATATTATTATATATTATTACTGTACATATTAAGAATTCGTACGAAGTAATCGTTGTTATTTGTAATATAATTACTTGTTACTGAAGTATGCATAACAATACTCATTTTTTTATAATAATAAGAGATGATCATCCATTCAGTTCATCAATTTTTATAGGGTAAACTTTTAACCGATATAGCATTAAAATATAATTATAACATTGGCGGAATCAAACGAGAAAAGGTAGCGATGGAGGGGCGGGGGACAAAGGATCTTTAATACCCAAAAAGGAAAAGAAAACAAATTTTACAAAATTCTCTTAATTAAAACTAATATTTTTTATTAATATATAAATTTGTATTCATACCTTCTGTTCCTGCATTATGTATATGTGAATTGTCTACTATAAATTAACTATTTATGAAGCAACTTAAGAGTTTTTCTTTTAAATTTGACTGCTCAAATGATTTTGTTTGTTCACCCAATGAATTTGATCAAATTTATGTTAAAAATATTATTACACGCTGAATTTGGTATTCTTCAACATCAAATTTTGAGCACGTTACTGTATTATATGTGTTAAAAACCATATGTTATAATATATTTACAATTATTGCAATTTATCAAACTAAAAGTAGAAGATTATAGCTTTCATGTATTTTGTTATCGAATTTTCTATTTCTTTTAACATGATATGATAGAAACAAGCACAACTTGTTACCTTACAATGAATTCTGATAGTAGGTGATTTTTAAAATTAATCAGTTATATTTTAAACTTTCTTGCGTAGTCAGCATCGTGTAACTTCCAATATTCTGAAAATTATAGTAACTTTACTGTACTAATATCTATACATAATATGTATATGCTACCGTGAAAGACCGAAATCTGGTGAATGTCGACATTCACATAGTCGGTTGGTGTATGTCCGAAATATTTGCTAAATACCCTTATTTCTGACTTACGCCGGTAAATGTCGACATTCACCATGCACTAATGGTGAATGTTGAACATGTCGGAGATTTATATTTTCTTCTCCGTAATTCAGTCGCTATAAAACGTCACAAGGATGACGTAACTTTTTCGCCTCTCTTTCTGAGAGGAGA